AGTAGAATACCCTTTTTTAAATAGCGTCCTCTTTTCTATAAACGGTATTTCTCTAAACTGAGGCTCTGCCTTCTCTAAACTGTGCTTCCATAAAACGTGCCCGTTCTCTAAAACGTGCTTCGACGAAATGGCATTCTATCAGCCGTAGTATTATGCCACTCTGCTCCGCTGCCAAATGGTTCCCAAAATTGTATGCAAAATGTAACGGTCCAGCGCACGACAAAAAACAGTCCAGAGGCGAGGTACAAGCTAAACACACAGAAAAAAAGAACCTGAGCATATCGATGCAAGACATTGCAAGTCGGGATCGTAAAGTACTTGGAGCACTTTGCGCAACGACTGAACTCGAGACAAACAAGCGCGTCGTGCGGGTTCAGTGTGCAGACATTGCCTTCTTTGCTTTAGCTCACTTCACTTCAACAACTTTCTTTCGCGGCCAACTTTTCACGTACCAGGGTCCCTTTCAAAAGAAAGCCCACCGAGAGAAACCTAGATAATCAATACTTCGACACAGCAGTCCGAGTTAAAGAGGTACTTTTGTAGTAGCATATGATTTGAAAGAGAGGAGGAATGTTGATAACCTTGCGGCAGTCCTTACGTGTCAGTTTAGAAAGCACCATATCTGCAGCGACGTGGAGACGGCAACACCTGACGTCATCCAACATGGTGACTGGTAGGCAAGGAACAAATATGGTTTTCCCAAGGTCCTTGCTCTCAGGAGCCAGTGCTTCAGCTCACAAAGTAACTCCCGCCACGCAAAAACCTGGTTATATTTCACATCACGACGGCATGGCTGGTACCCGGCACGCTAGCGTCGAATGTCCGCAGATGCTTGCATCTATCCGTACAAAAATTTTAAAGAGACACAAGACAAGACTTACGAGAGTATGAGCGTGAAACGAGAGACGGCGGGAAAAACCATGCAAGACCAGATGGACGATTGATGCAAGTCACTTTGTGCCGGGCAGTTGCTTGCGCCACCTAGCTCACGGTACTCAGTTTAGTTTCGGTTTAAAAAGGCGACCGAAATTGGTCCTTCAGCGCAGGCTTGGTGCAGATTACCCATATTTCGGCAAAATGTAGCAGGATGTATCAGGGTTAGCCCCTTGGCGCAATTGGCACAGCAATCACATCACTGCTATCGCATCCTCCACTGACGTGCACACCAGCCAGGCAACTGCACCAGGTGACTTCCATACTCTGCGCAAGCATTTGTAGGCACAGGTGGTGCATGGCCACGCATTCAAAAAAATGGTCAGGTTTGTTTTACGAGTCAGTATGGTAGCACCCTGTCAGAATTACAGTTCTGATAGCGCTGTCAGACCATCTTCACACTAGCAAAAATCTTGCTTTGGGTTTTATGTCCATCACTGCAACACGAGTGACACAAGTTCATTGGGAACATTTTCTAACAACCACACCCAATCCCTCGAGCTTGGTGAAACCATTCATTAAACGACATACAGTTGGGCGACAAGGGCTTTTCCATAAAAAAGCGACAAATGGCACCAATTTCAAGGTGTGGTTGTTAGAAAAATTCGCCTCGGCAGTCATCCAAAGTTGGCTTGCTTGAAAACGACGACTACAAACTACTTGAATGATTCAGCAGCTAGAAACCCCATTACGGCAACAGAAATGAAATGTGTAAATAATTTCCGAAAGAGAATCAGTGGATATTACATGCTGTAATTGTTTTTCTGTACATTGATGACCACAAAACGGCACAACAGATCCAAGCCAATCATGTGCCGACCAAATAATTAAACAACTCAGGTTAAAAGTGTCATGTTTGTCAACAAAACATTACCGTCGCTCACCAGTCCCTGAAATCTTGGTTGGTTGTCATCACTTCAAAGAAAATGACAGACTCAATTCCTAAAGGAGGCTCAAAATGCTCCCATGATACAGCAGCCAGTAAAATACATCCTAGTCAATCATTCAGAACTTGCTCACCCTGTCACCTTCCTAAAAAAAACATCCACCGTCTAGGCAGCAGAGGCATGCACTGTCCTCGTGCCTCATGGTCCTTGTTTGTTACTCACGTCATTGTACAAATGGTGTGATTGTAGACTTTGACCCGAAGAGGGTATATATCTACAATACCACCATGAAAGACGAGCTTACTATCATTTTTCCATAAAAGGTGTATCTGCTATCGGTTTGCAATGAAAGAGGCATCAACTAGAGAGTCTTCCATTGCAAAGTGCACTTGTACCATGACATACATTGGGTGCACTGCAGGAAATCTGGCCCCATGGTGGTGGCGCCCCATGAAATATGCTAGAAGCTAGGCAGCAATAACGTTTTTTATGTCTTTAAAGAGCAGTGAGAATACTGACTAATCTTCCTGAAACTGTTCAGCTGCAAAAATTATCCAATGCAAACATGAACGAAACCAGACCCCACCTTCAGTTATCATTGTTCACATGAAAAAACTGTCCCTGGATTGGCTGCTGCAACTTCTCAATTACTCGCCCCGTTTCAATCCTAACCCCATCTCAGAAAGCCATCATCTAATACCCCTGTCAGACGGGAAAATAAATGTCATTTTCATTGAATGTCATTCACCGCTCGGCGAATCAGCTCATGATCCTGGTTCTGCACGTGGCGCGTGCACGCGCCGCATGGTGTATGAAACATGCGGATTGGCTGAGCTGTAATGTCATTTTCCTTAAATGTCATTTAACGTGCTTGTCTGACAGGGGTATTACTATGTTTACCAATGCACAAAATGCAGCATATCAGAAATCAGAAAAAAAAAAGCCTCAACTTTCTTTCCACGTCAGACAGAAAGGACAACAGTATCAAACACTTGTGGGAAGTCGCACGATTCAAAATATAAATGTGTATTTGGTCGCACTGTAATGCCACAAACTGAAGTTACACAATCGAAACCGAAACTCGGTAGCCAACTGCACCCAGAATGTATTGCATCCCCGCTTCAAATTTTGCAGTTTATTGAAAAACGTTATAAAAGGATGATGTTACCTTCCTTGATAGACTAACAGCGATTTTGTTTGACATACACTGGCACCGTGGTAGTTTAGTCGCAAAATGCCCTGCACTTGCAGAGCGCTACACGAAGAATCCGTCCCAAACCAACTTTTCGAATGCAGTCAGATAATGTCACCATCTATGATGCAGTAAGTGTACCAACCAAACTGCAACAAGCATGCTGCTGACACAACAGCGTAGTGTGGAATTTCTGTTTGCAGAGAAAACACTGAAAACAACTTATCAAATTTTTCTCACAGACTGCCTAAGTGCCTGTCACAAGCCGACTCAGAAGACCTGCAAGAACTAACGAGTCTCACTCTTTAAGTGTGAAGCACTTCAAAATGTTTTGTGAACTCTATGTTTTGGAGCAAACCATTATAAAATGTGCATGGAGATTGATAAAGCAATTCCTGCTAACTGTGCACTGCATTGCACATCCAAGTGCCGTTCTCCACATCGGCGGAACTGAGCACATCGTTGAAGATGACAACTTTTGGTAGCGTTAGTCTTCTGTGGTCACAATCACTTGAATGAGATGCTCTGCTCTTGTAGTACTGCCGATAGTGCTAGATTACGCTACATATTCATCTCGAACCTGTACTGCGCGGCAGTTTTGATTTTGGTTTCCTCCCTTGGTTGCAAAGGATGTAAGGAGACCTAACAGTGCCCGAGGGGATTGCATTCTGGCACACCCCGATTCGCTCAGTACGAGCAAGTGCACCTCGCTGTGAATGCCAGCACTGAAACAAACTAGAGCTGAGAGTTTGCAATCGTGGTCAGAGTGCAGTCAGACAAAAACAAATTCAATGGCCTAAAAAGCAGCGCTCATGCCCAGCTGTGAAAGTTATCTCATCCCCAAAAGTGGAACTAGACCAAAGTGCTTAGTTCCCCTTCACACAGAACCCTTTAGATGCAACATAAACCCGCGCCCGATACCTTTCCCTGTCGGCAACTTCTGCAAGACTTCACAGGTTACCTCTTGGGCATTCGACATGTGCCTTCCCTTCAATTTCACACGACGTTCAAAAACAATAAGCTGATGCACAATCCCAAGCAAAATGCAGGTACCCTCGAGCATGGCAGTAAGCGAAATACATGGCTCGCACACGACGCCACCCGGCGATGCGAAATGTGTGCTGCAGAAGTACGCGATTCGTGGCCAGACCATCATAATGGCAGTTGACGTGCCGCCAATGCGAGCCATGTACACGGATCGGCACTTGCGCTAGCAGCTAGTGCCATCCCGGTCGGTTGGAACACGCACCGCCAGTCACGCTGCACTGGGGCCCCCACAACGAACCAATGCATGGAGCAAAGAGCCGAGCTGCACAATCCACTGATCGGGACACCGCCGTGGATCCCTCTGTGGCCACTCGAGGTTAGGGTCGCCCTCGTCGGCGGCTCCACGTGTGCGAATGGGCCTCTCCGCGCGATGTGGATGCGCGCTTGTGCTAACCCCCCCGCTGTGGCGGATCGTTCGCAGTCTCCATGAGAGCGTCTGCTCGGAGACCCCAGGCAGCCACGGCGGGGCAGCCCTCGAGACACTCGAACGACGGGCCCGGACACCGGCCCCGAGGTACGCCGCTACCCGCGCCGGCAGTGATCCACATCCCGTGCCTCGGGGTTCGCTGCCGCAACTACCGGGCATCAGTTCGAAGCCCCCACACGTGCAGGGAACACATGGAACGTGGCCTGTGGTTGGACAGGCCACCTTCCATGAGTCCAGAACGAAGCGGCAAACCAGTGGAGACGCACCCTGCGCGAAACAGTCGGTGGGCGCGGGAGAGCTCGGCCGCTAGGCCTAAAGCGATAGCCCAAGCTGGAGCCAGCCCGGGCGATCGCCCCAGACCCATCGGGCCGCGACTCGGGGACGAGCCAACGGCGAAGATCCTGCCGGGCCAGTCGCGAGAGCCAAAGCGCGGCGAGCGGCGGCATCCTTGGCGTTAGGGTTACCGCTTGCTAACAAAGCTGGGATCGGAGCGCCCTTCCCCGGCCCGCCTTACCTCGTGAATAATCTTGCAACCTTTGACTAGCCCCATCTGTCCAAAGACGGCCAGCAAGAGCTCCTCGGTGACGGCGGTGTCGAGGTTCCCGACGTACCTGCCAAGCGAAGAAAGCGACACGTTGATCAACACATGGAAGACATCGCGAGCGCCGGCAACGCAGCGGCCGGCACATCGAGCCAGAAGTAGTGTACTCACAGCGTACGTGGCTGACAGTCGTTACCCTGGTCCTGCAAGTGGCAAAGCATGTCATCAGATCGGAACAAATCAAAGCAAGCGACAAGAAATAGAGGAGCTTTACCTTGTTTGCCATTATGGCGTCAGTACTCTAAACCTACAACCGAAGCACAACCGAAGCGCCGAGGCATCATGGGAGCGCGGACAGCCAAGGAGGTTGGGTTGGTTGGGTCAGAAAAGATGCAGAGGAGCTGACACACTGCTATCCCGTCGTTCCCCTGCTACTTCCTATGACGTCATGAGTCCTCGAGCTCCTTTCGCCGCCCTGACAAGACGGTGGAATTTACGTGCTCGTTGGACCAATCATACGCCGTTTATTTTCCACGTGTTCAGGCTTACGCTGATATTTCACGTGCAGAGAGCGGGGCAGGTGATAAAAACCAGGCAGTTAATTGGTCCGGTGAGCCTTCTCTCCTGCGTCCTTTCGTACGCGCTATGAATCTCGGGAAGTGTTTTTCCCGGCTCCGGTAGGTTCTAGTAACGGCGTGGTTGTGGATTGTGGTGGTTTCTACGTTGCGCGACGGAGCACCGAGGACGCGAAAGAGGCGTCTGCTTCTCTTTCTATCGTTCTGCATTTCTCGACCGCCGCAAGCAAGAACTTACTTATAGAAAATGGGTGTCCACGGTGTACAAGAATGTGTTGTGTCGCATTTATCGAGTGGATAAGATGACACACTTCAGAAATAAAGCGTTCCGACCGTCGATATAGCCACGGCGTGCGGAAATCAGCGAACTCGTTGCGAGCTGACGGGCATCTCGAGTCCTCGATAGTGATGTCTCCTATAATAAACCTCCGTTCGTGTTTTATTGTTTGTTGTTTTTTTTTCGCGAATTTTGAGATTATATGAACTGAAACTACACACGATCAACAATTGGAAATAGTTTCCTGTTTTTGACTTGTACCTGGAAGTGCTAGATTTTCAAAACTGTATATGCTCGCGCTTGTCCATCTAGTCTCGTTCTACGATTCGCATACCCCATGCCGGGAACATAGTTATTGTAAAGTACATTATAATAACTCTATGGCCGGGAATTCGGAATACCTACACACACACACAGAGAGAGAGAGAGAGAGAGATATTATAGAGTAGGAATTCAGCTTATGGAAAATATATAGTGCATAAAATTAAAGATGTGGTTATCCCTTACATTCACAATGCGACGAACTGCGGGAGTAATGGGACTCTACAGATATGATATTGACATAAGTGCCCCCCCCCCCCCCCCCCTAAAAAAATAAAAACATTTTTATTGCAAAAATAAACTATGCATCGCCGAACGCTCATTTTCCGCCCAAATGTAGCGCAATATGTCTGAACCAGATGCCAAATTGTGAGCACGAGCCGATATCTTATTCAAAAGTTATGTAATTTTCTGAAAATTTCAATGGTAAAATAGGGCCCATTTTTGCCTGCTTTCGGTTGCACGTATTCGAAAGCTCCGTAGGCCACCATTTGCCTACTGAAATTTTCAAAAAAAATCATTTGTAACTTTTAAATTAGATAACGGTTAGCGCTGAAACTTTGGCATCTAGTTCGGACCTCTAACGCTACATTTGGGTGGAAAATGAGCGTTCGCCACCTTTGTCCATGGGAGCGGAGCGCGCGCGGCGTCCCGCGAAGTTGAGAATATCGATATCATAGTCTCAAAGATTAATTAACTTTGATCTTGAGCTTAAGGCCTTAATCAGCGAAGGACTTGGGAACTGATCGGCGAACACTGGGTGGAAGTGCGCAAACCTCATCTCTCTCTCTCTCTCTCTCTCTCTTTTTCTCTCTCTCTCTCTCTCTCTCTCTCTCTCCATCGGCTCCCAACCCGCGTAAAACCTACCAGCTCAGAGCAGATTTTAGAGGCCACCATCCTCCAGCACACGAGAGAAACACCGAGAACGAGAGTTGACTGTTATTTTATTTTTCTTGTGTCCGGGTTTAGGTTGCGATGTTTGTTTTCTAGCTCGCTTGTACACTTTTCTCTCTAATATTAGTGAGCACACATCCGCCACGTCTTTTTCACGGGATGGCAGCTCCAGGCGATTCAAGCCTCCTTTGTCAATGCAGTGAAAGCCTGAAAGTGCCGAAATCCTGCTTTGAATTGATACGCCGACGGGCGTCGTTGAACAGTCACACTGAACGCGTTGAACTTCTCTGTGTATTTGAACGGATTGTGTACTCTATACAGAACATAGAGTTATTAACAATAAACGCTAGAAGTTCAGGTGGTTGCTATTTATAGCAGACAGCGACCAGTCTAAATTAGACTTCCGTTAATGCATTCCTATGGGAAAACGCAAAGGCGTTTTCTCTTCGCGCTCGATTATAAGAGCAAATATTGCTTAGTGTTGTGACAGAATAAAAAGTTTGGAACGTTTTACAATCGGATGTACAAACATGTGCCAGTTAGAGTGTTTTTCTTTGAAATTCATGGCGCCTAACACTGCGCTAAAACAAGCCAATACGCATGTATAATACATGTTGAAGTTGCAGACGGCTATTATAGGGCACGAATTTACGCTATAGGCTCCTTGCACTGCCGTCACATCGCATACTTTTGAACACCATGTAAAAGGAGGAGAGGGAAGCTGCTTTTGTAAGAATTTTGAGTGACGGGTTAATCTTCTATAACCTTCTGGGAGGAGAATAGCGACGTCTGTGCAAATCCGGGAGGCACAAAAAAGGATCCTGATAAGAGGGGAGCTCCTTCTTCCCCTTTTTTCTGGAGGGCATCGGAAATGATGTCATGTGCAAGTCACGTTGACGTCATGTGCAACATGACGTCATTTCCGATTGAGCTTCCCGGATTTGCACAGGCCGTCGCTATTCTCCTTCCAGATGATTATAGAAGATTAACCTGTCACTCAAAATTCTTACAAAAGTAGCTTCCCTCTCCTCCGTTTATATGGTGTTCAAAAGTATGCGATGAAGTCAACGTTACTAAAACACTCAGGTGGGAAACTCACCGTCGAAACCGGGGCCGCTGGCGTCCACCGAGACCGAGCTAAATGCGACAACAGCGCCACTCTTTATCGTTTGTCTGTACTGTGGTCCCCTTGAGCTTTTTGAAAGCCTGTTTTTGCGTAAAAACAAACCGAAAAGACTCTTTTTGTATGGAATTTATTGGAGTTTAATACCAAATTATGGGCGCGTGATGTTTTTATCATCTTTAGTTCGCAAGGTTTTGCGGAACAATTAATATTGTTTTCATACAACCATGCCTCAGCGGGCCTTTCAGGTAGCACGTCCTGACCTAGGTGCATTTTAACGTCAGTAGTTGAACGCGGCGCGTCCACCACGGAGACGGGGGTGGCACCCCTGTAACCTCTACCGCTGTATCTGTTTTTAAGCCAAAATAGAAGTCACGTGCAGTTCTTCGAGAGGCCGCTGCGGGGGAAATGGTGGCGTTGTGTTCGTCATTAGCTCGGTGCTCGGAGACAGATTGGGGCCACTTTTTCAAAGCTGTCTCTATGGGAGTTTCCCAACGGAGTGTTTTAGTAATGTTGGATGAAGTACGAAGTGTGAAGTGCGGAGCGCAAGTTCGTCTGCTTCTTGCACAGGGGTTGCGATAGAACGCTCGCATTGGCTGATGGGAAAAAAGAGTGGGTAGACCTCGAGGCATTAGCATTGCAGTCTACCCACTATCCTTTCAATCAAAGTCAATCAGAGGTCGGCGTCGTCCTTACGTCACCGCAGCTCCTATGCGAGAAGCAGACGACTTGCTCTCCGCGTATATGCCAAATCAAACAACCAAAAGAGAAGACAAGAACGAAGCATGGAGTTATGGAACAAAAAACACGCACTGGATTAGTAACTAACTGTGCATGAAAATTCAAAATAAAGCTTTTACCGAATGTTGATGGCGTATAACCTTTTTTGCGGTTTCCACATCTCTTGGGTTTCGGGCAAGCCAGCGGGCACGGAGAGTAACTAAATATCAGTGGCCATATTTCAACCTGACGACGCGGAAACCTCCTCCACCTACGGATGAGACCCGTGGTGCCGAAAGCGCGCGAAATGTGATGTCTTTGGTCCTGGGCCTACTACTGCTGAGAGCCGCCAAAAGCTTCTTTTTAGTCGAAATACAAAATATAAGTGGCGCGAGCCGTTTCAATTAGTTATAAAAGTAGTTTTTGTACAGTGTTTTATATCAGAAAAGAAACAAATGCAGTTTATAAAGTATGGAAACAAGAAATGACCCGTCGACATACCCGCAACCAAGCAGTGGAAAAGGCGGCGCATACTAGCAAGGTGTAGTGGGATCAGACGCCCACGACGGCTACGAGCGGCGAGTGTAGAAAGGTCCCGGATGTACGCGGCGGCGCTGCAGTCGAGGATCCGACCGGTTCCGAGCGCTCCGAAGGCCTTCGGCGAGAAGCTTTGGCTTGCGGTTTGGCCCTTCGGCGGTGTGACAGCGCGAGGTGGCTCCCGTTCTGAACTGATCTTTACCCCGTGTTTGCTGTCGTTTGTGGCCAATGAAATGTTAGGCCGAACTAGTGTTTAGTCGCGCTGCAAATGCAATACGAGCTGCCCTGGCCGTCCGCTTCATACAGCCTATCCAACACGTGCTTTAGTGGCGCCCTCTCGAGCCGTCAACACGGAGTGCGGCAGCCGTGAGCGCTCGCTGAGCTCACTACCCCTCCTCTAGTTCACGGCCACTCAAGCAACCAAGGACGCCATGAGGTTGTTTTTTATTGCTTGTTTTTAGAAATTTAATTTGCCTATAACTTTTGGAATAAAGCAAAATTCGAGAAAAGTTTAAAGGAGCGGTGCAACGATATTCAATCAGAATGTTTTTCACTTGACACGAGCTTACTGGCACACCTGGGACTCAAGGATACTCACACGCAACGCCACTGGCCAAGAAACTCCTTTGTTGCGGTGTAATTGCAAGGACAAAAGCGATCATTTTCATTCAATCTCTCCTTTGCAAAATTTGATGACGTAACTCGGGGATCGCAGTACACCCAAGTGACGATATTTGAATGCGGTTCATAGATTGGACCCGAGCATTGCGTGGGCACTCGACTTGGGCTCGTGATAATTGCTAGCTCGAGAAGCATTCGGGTTGTGACCCGTGTCCAATCGCTGCAACGACGACAACAGCCGAGCCATAACAATGTCTGGAACTCAGCGCGTGTCCTGCGCTTTGCCAACCCCAGCGCGTGGCTATGATCAACACTGGCGGC